GGATGGGCCGGCCCGCCGCCATCCCGTGCGCTCGGCGTCAGCCATCAGTTCTTCCCAATCCGGCCTCAATGGTCACCGCACACCCCAAAAATATATAATCCGCTCAATAACGCCAACGGCCTGCAGCCCCGCCGCGCCCGGCGCGTGAAGTATGGGCCCGGGAGGCAGCCGGCTGCTGCGCCGGAGCTGACAAGCATGACTGCGGGGATAAAATAACACTCCGTGCGCATAAATATCAGGCAGCCCGCCCGAGACGGATGGGCCGGGAACGGATCCGTAGCTATCATCCCGGCAGACAGGCCCAAGGACACTCATAACTTATTTTACAATCATTTAGTTTCAGCTCAACTGGAAAACGTGACAACTTATCTCTGCTGACAAGACGCCCTGTCGAACCTCACAATTAACTCTCCTCGGATTATCTGCCCAGCCGATCATTAGCTCGGCTGTTTTTGATGAACTGTTGCGGGCAGCTCGCCTCGGCCATCGCCGTCACCGCCAGGGGTGTGGATTGGTTTTTGATGCCCCGGCTGAGGCTCGAACAGACGGGGCTCCGTGCGCGTGGGGCGCCACGGCCCGGCCGCTCCTGGACAGGCCTGCGGGGGAGGCGTCCCCGCCACCGTGGTGATCGCCGCGAGCGCCAGGACTGCGGCCACCGGCCCCCCCCCGGCGCCGTCCCTGGTCCCCACCAAGGTCGGAGGTGAGGGCCCTCCCCAGACTTGGAGTCTGTATTTCGGGGAGCCCAGGGCCCTCTGGAGGGACACCTGCCACCACTGTTCCTCGGTGGAACTGACTTGGAGAGGGGACACTGAGTGGGCGGCAGGGAGCCACCCACACGGTCCGGAGACGCTGCTCGTGGCCCCGAGTGCTGGCCGACTGTGACTTTCCTACGTGCTGATTAAAGATACAAAATGCTTTACACGCAGGGTCACAAGAAGCAGGCACATACATATTTTTTTGGTCAATCCTCACCAGGGGCTATATTTTCCACTGCTTTTCAGAGAGTGGACGGGAGGGAAGGGGCAGGGGCATCGATGTGAGAGAGGCACATGGGCTGGTTGCCTCCTGCTCACCCCATCGGGGGCCAAGGATGGAGCCTGGAGCCAGGAGGTGGCGTCCTTGACCAGAAGCGAACCCTCAACCCTTTGGTGCGCAGGCTGACCTCCAACCACTGAGCCACACCAGCCAGGGCAGAAGCAGGCATCTTTACGGGAAAAAAAATAAGTGAAAAGTACAGGAGTGTGCGTATCGGCTCCCGCTCTTCCGTCACATGGACCCTCGCTCGCTCGGGCGGAATCAGAAACAACGGCGAAAACCTTTTTTGGGGGGAGGTATTAAAAGAATTCGAAATGACCAAAGGCAGGGCAGGGGCTCAGGGAGGGCTCAGGGAGGGCTCAGGCCCTCGGCAAACTCAAG